TTCCACTCTGGAGTTGCTCACGGTGAGAGGCGCCGAGCGGGGATGGGAATACTTATTGTCCCCTGGCTGGGTGCTTGTACATTGGGGTTTACCGCAGTGGACGAGAGGGTAGCCTCCCTTCGTCTTCAGGTGGGGGGACAGATCCTGACTGTTGTTTCTGCTTATGCACCAAACGGCAGTTCAGAATACCCACCCTTCCCTGGAGGGGGTGTTGGAGAGCACTCCTCCTGGGGACTCTCTTGTTCTACTGGGGGACTTCAATGCCCACCTGGGCGATGACAGTGAGACCTGTAGTGGCGTGATTGGGAGGAACAGCCCCCCTGATCTGAACCCGACCGGTGTTTTGTTGTTGGACTTCTGTGGTCATCATGGATTGTTCATAATGAACAACATGTTCAGGCATAAGGGTGTTCATATGTGCACTTGGCACCAGGACACCCTAGGCCGCAATTCGATGATCGACTTTGTAGTCGTGTCATCGGACTTGCGGCCGCTTGTCTTGGACGCTCGGGTGAAGAGAGGAGCGGAGCTGTCAACTGATCACTACCTGGTGGTGGGTTGGAGCCGCTGGTGGCGGAGGAAGCCGGCCAGGCCTAGCAGGCCCAAGCGTATAGTGAGGGTCTGCTGGGAACGTCTGGCAGAATCCCCTGTCAGGAGGAGTTTCAACTCCTACCTCCGGCAGAACGTCTCCCTTGTCCCGGGGGAGGCAGGGGACATTGAGTCCGAATGGGCTATGTTCCGCGCCTCCATTGTGGAAGTGGCTGACCGGAGCTGTGGCCGTAAGGTGGTCGGTGCCTGTCGCGGCGGCAATCCCCAAACCCGCTGGTGGTCAGCAGTGGTGAGGGATGCCGTCAAGCTGAAGAAAGAGTCCTATCGGGCCTTTTTAGCCTGTGGGACTCCAGAGGCAGCTGACAGGTACCGGCAGGCCAAGCGGGGTGCGGCTTCGGCGGTCGCTGAGGCAAAAACTCGGGTATGGGAGGAGTTTGGCGAGGCCATGGAAAACGACTTTGAGGTGATTCTGATCCACCATCCGGCGGCTCCGGGCGGGAAAGCGGTGCAACATCAACACTGTTTATGGTGGGAATGGGGTGCTGCTGACCTCAACATTTTGGGTCGGTGGAAGGAATACTTTGAAGACCTCAATCCCACCGACACGCCTTCCAATGCGGAAGCAAAGCATGGGGACTTGGGGGTGGACTCCCCTATCTCTGGAGCGGAGGTCGCTGAGGTAGTTAAAAAGCTCCTCAGTGGCCGGGCCCCAGGGGTGGATGAGATCCGCCCGGAGTTCCTTAACTCTCTGGTGCCGGCGGGACCTGACAGAAATTTCGCCAAACCGTTTAAATAACTTTTTGAGTTTTTGTCATATACACATTTAAAAAACACCCTCAGAAACCTTAGATGGTCTACTTTTCAAACATATATAGTTAGAAACTAAATATTTTTACAGCTTCGTGATACGAATAGAAAGAACAAGAGTGACTGACTTAAGCGTCTGCGTCTCGACGCAGCTCTGATTGCCTTCCCACTTGCAAATCGCTCTAGTCGCATGATAATAACATGATAATCCGACAGTTAGTATTGGGTAAAGAAATATGTGAATACGCCCATTGTGACCAAAATAAACAAGAGCACATGTCTGGGTAGTGTTTACACTGATCGGCTACATTATGGCACACGGATACGTCTCTGGTGCTGAAGCTTTGCGCCAATGTTGTCATTTTCAGCAGCAAATCTCATACCTGTGTCCATGGCTCAGTGTGCTAAGCCTGTGTGCCTGTAGTTACACGATCGTCGGTTCAAACCCAGCCTATTTAGAATGTGAACAGCGATCTTCAGCTGAAACCAGTACTACACACCCCTGATGCAAGTAAAACAAAGAAAGGTAGCACAGTTTGCTTTTTTGCCTATTTAACCTAATTTTAAAAACTTTAATACTTCCGACAATTGAAGTTTTGAAAAGAAGACCGATTACAGATTTAGTCAGTGTTTTTTTCATGATTCTACAGTGAGATTTCAGCGAGATATAAACTGAAATACACAAGAAAGATATGCGGTCGACGATGCTCTCGTCCCCAGAACGTTAATAACAGTCACTGCATCATATTTATCGCTTTCTATATTTATATGGTCACAGTTTTTCATTTTTCATTCCATCTACCAATAAACTGTGAAAAGGATTTTATTGTTGCTACTTTTCTTGCGTTTCAAACTGCCTTTCCAAAGTGATGGGTGTTGGGTCAGTGACATTCCAGACTGATGGGCCATTGACAGTATGCAAACTACTACAGGTGTGGGGACACCTATCCCATCAATATTCATTGTGCAGGCCACTGACTTTGAGAAAAAGAGTCACTCCAAAGTTCTAACACTTTAGTAATCAAACCACATAAAATTGCAGAATGTCTCTTTCACCTATGTGTAGCCAACCCCTGTGTCTATAAGCTTCAGAGCTCAAAAGTCTTAGCTAGAAATGTCTATAATGTGATTTTTTACAATTTCTCAGCATGTCTGAAAATAGGTTTTTGAAAAGTATATGTTTAAAGTTGAATTTAACAAAAAATAGAATAGTAACATTTTAAGTGGTCAGATTATTGGTGCTGAGTTTGTGCTGAATAAAAGCACATGTAACACTTTGGGATAGCCTAAATGTTTTTTAGATAGGTGAAATATTTAAAAATGTCAAGGCATGTCAGACTACCCCGAAAGTGGAAAAGAGGTCTCAGGCCCCAGAGCGTTAAGGCTCTGAATGCTGTGGGGCTGTCCTGGTTGACACGTATCTGTAGCATCGCGTGGACATCGGGGACAGTGTCTCTGGACTGGCAGACCAGGGTGGTGGTCCCCCTCTTTAAGAAGGGAGACCGGAGGGTGTGTTCCAACTATAGGGGGATAACACTCCTCAGCCTCCCTGGTAAGGTCTATTCGTGGGTTTGGAGAGGAGGGTCCGGATTGTCGAACCTCGGATTCAGGAGGAGCAGTGTGGTTTTCGCCCCGGCCATGGAACAGTGGACCAGCTCTATACAGTACTCTCCGCAGGGTTCTGGAGGGTTCATGGGAGTTTGCACAACCAGTCTACATGTGTTTTGTGGACTTGGAGAAGGCATTCGACCGTGTCCCTCGAGGAGTCCTGTGGGGGGTGCTCCGGGAATATGGGGTGCCGGGCTTCCTTTTAAGGGCTATTCGGTCCCTGTATGACCGGTGCCAGAGCCTGGTCCGTCAGGGCTGCCCTTTGTCACCAATTCTTTTCATAGTTTTTATGGACAGAATTTCTAGGTGCAGCCAGGGCGTTGAGGGTGTCCGGTTTGGTGACCTCAGGATTAGGTCTCTGCTTTTTGCTGATGATGTGGTTCTGTTGCCCTCATCGGACCGTGACCTTCAGCTCTCGCTGGGACAGTTCGCAGCCGAGTGTGAAGCGGCTGGGATGAGAATCAGCACCTCCAAATCCGAGACCATGGTCCTCAGCCGGAAAAGGGTGGAGTGCTCTCTCCGGGTCGGGGATGGGGTCCTACCCCAAGTGGAGGAGTTTAAGTACCTCGGGGTCTTGTTCACAAGTGTGGGGACGATGGAACGGGATTTCGACAGGCGGATCGGTGCGGCATCCGCAGTGATGCGGGCGCTGCATTGGTCTGTCATGGTGAAGAAGGAGCTGAGCCAAAAGGCAAAGCTCTTGATTTACCAGTCGATCTACGTTCCTACCCTCACCTATGGTCACGAGCTGTGGGTAGTGACCAAAAGAACGAGATTGCGAGTGCAAGCGGCCAAAATGAGTTTCCTCCGCAGGGTGGCTGGGCTCTCCCTTAGGGTGAGGAGCTCGGTCATTCGGGAGAGACTCAGAGTAGAGCCGCTGCTCCTCCGCATTGAGAGGAGCCAGATGAGGTGGCTCGGGCATCTGATTAGGATGCCTCCTGGACGCCTCCCTGGTGAGGTGTTCCGGGCATGTCCCACTGGGAGGAGGCCCCGGGGAAGACCCAGGACACGCTGGAGGGACAATGTCTTTCGGCTGGCCTGGGAATGCCTCGGGATTCCCCCAGATGAGCTGGATAAAGTGGCCCAGGAGAGGGAAGTCTGGGTTTCCCTGCTGAGACTGCTGCCCCTGTGACCCAACCTCGGATAAGCGGGAGAAAATGGATGGATGGATAAATGGGTGAAAGTAGACTGGATAGAAGTTCATAAGATGCCAACTACTGAGCAGTTTACCAGTGGCAACAAAATAAACTGTCCCGTTTGACGGTGCATGGAGCATAGAAAAAGGCGCAGGATGCCAAAAGTCGGGACAAACACGGGGTTTAACGGAGGCAGCAACAACAGGATTAGGCAACACATGGGATGACATTACAATGACCGGACTGGGGAAACAAACTGAAACGCGGACTAAATACACTGAACTAATGACAGTAACCGGAAACAGCTGATGAACACGGGGAATCCACATGGGGTTAATGAGGGGGCGTGGCACACGAGAGGAGCGGACAAACGGGGCATGACATAAACCCGGACAAACACGATGACCAATTGAGAGACAGTAGCTCCCCTGGCTGGATGTTTGTGGTCTGTTGGAAGAAACAGAGTGAACAAGCAAACATCAACAAATGGAGTTAGAGGCAGGGATTGGGTCCACAGTCCTGGAGGTGTGAACCTTTGGTTTGTTAGATTCAACTTGGAGCACAAACTTTTATCTTCAATACTTGTTTTCTAAAGCAACATATTTCCCAGCAGCAAAATCACTCTGTGCTTTGTGTGCAGTCTGCATGTTCTCACCATGATCCTGTACTGGATATGTAGTTGACAATGAGTAGATCAAATATTTGTATGTGACATTTCATTGTCCTCAAGAGCTTTACAACTTTCACTGTACATCTGCATATAGCAGCATCTGCTAAAGACAGATATATACCTTTTCATTTGGTACTTATTACAACCCTGTTTGACATTAATCTCTTGATACAGCTATTGAAAATATGCTTGAGGAGGAATGTATATGTGAACTGCATGTCTTTCTACAGATTGAAAGAACAAGTAGGTGTCTGGGCATTCCAATGTTAAATGTGCTTCCTGTGAAGAATTACTGCCATGAGATTGAGCTGAATGACAACTGTGACATCCTGCTCCTCAGCGCCATGAAGCAGATGCTCAACTTTGCTGACAATTACTTTGACGACTGTGAGGAAAACACAGAGTAGATGAGTTTATCATATTTGGGGGCAATGTCATTGCCTCACTCTGTCCATGTTCCTGTGTTCTACACCACACATTAGGTCCTTCCTTCCAGTATACTGTACCTGCATTAGCCTATTTCTTTACCTTTCCGCACACACAAGTCTTTTCATAACCTGGACTTATAACTGTATTTTCACTTGGCTTTGAAAGATGCTTGCATAAATCCAGATATATAATATATAATCAAATACACCCTGTATCCTTACACTGGATTAGAAGTAAAAATGACCTGACGATTCCAGGATGGGCCAGTGTCTGTCTCAGTCTTAACCCTGGTTTGATTCAGTGTTCTATTTTTAGATTTCAAGTTTGCTTCAATGTCTCTGTCAGTTTGATTACAGTTTTTCACAGTTGCTAAAACATTAAAACCTGTTTTCTGAACCAAATTCTCGGTGGCCTGAACTCATTTTTCGAATCAAACACTCTTTTGGCCAAACCTCAAACACTGTTTGGGTTTTTTTTTGCAAAACCTTTTACATATCCCCAGTCACTAAACACATTCCACACTGTGATACACTTGTGTTGTAAAATGGTAAACACTGGTAGCAATTTGTGAACACAAATCCAACACAGCTGTCATCTCTTACACACAGTTGAACACACATGTTTCTAATGACCAATTAGGCAGAATAAAAGTCAGTTCACAGTGCACAGGCAGCACATGTCCATCCATCTACAATGGACAGAAACATACAGAGAGGCAGAGGGGGAAGAGCTCGTGTGAGAGGTGGTGGACGAGGAGGAAGGGGACAAGGATGTCCAAGAACAATCATTACTGATGAAATTCGGGCAACTGCTGTACTCTACACCCTGAGCTTATTCATGGGATGACAATAAGGGAAGCTGGACAAAGAGTCCAACCCAATTTCAGCGGGTTCTCTGTGGCTGGCATCATCCGGTTTTACTTGGCTCCTCCTTTGTCTACATCACCACCATTCTCACCAGAATCTCCATCATTTCTACCATGATCACCACCTCTGTCATCATCAAAATCAGAATTTTGTCCTCAGCATTAGAAGAGTAATTACTGTCTGATAAATAGAGAAGTGAAATCATATGTCAGATTTTGTGGTAAATGTGGAATTATGTGACTTCTGTTTGGATGGATGGACCCACATGATCCCCTTCTGTGGTCCTGTGGCATTACAGTGTTTTTCAATAGATATATTCTACAATAGGGAGGTTGCTTTCTCAAAACCCTTTACACAGTTGCCATGACATCAGGTAATGTGGGCTAAACTGAATAATTTCTCATTGCTTTCGTACAAAATGCAGTCAATAACTAAATGCCTCCAAATCATCCTCTCTCACTCAAAATCACGTTTTTTGAGGTCACACATTAACAAAAAAGGCACAGAAGAAATGAAAAAATAAAAATGCCCTCTAATCTCTGCGATCTTCAGGGTTAGGCCACATGTTCAACATCACATCTGATGTCATCTAAAGCAAAACACTGGGGATAAAAGCATCAAGGAGGGACATCTGGTCATGTGGCTGATGATCATAGACTTTCCACCTCCACGCAGAATAGAAGTTCTCTATGGGATTGAGGAAAGGTGAGTAGGGGGGGAGGAAAAGAGGTACCATTCTTGGAAGGGCTTCAAACCACGTGCTGATGGCTGGCGAATGGTGGAAAGCAACATTGTCCCAAGTGATCACAAAGGTCCTCATGTTTCCTCCTACCTGGTCCCTTTGTCCCTCCGGTACCAGTCATTGGTGGAGGTCATGCAGAAACACAAGGAGGTGCTCAGTATTGTAGGGCCCAACTTGGCATCTTTGAAGGACCAATCCAGTGTTTGAAATTGCAGAACATTGTGATGCTTGCTCCTCTCTGACCTGACACCTCGACTGTGGCCCTTTTTCCAATTATATTTCATCCGCGTCGACGCCTTTTGGCCAAATTGAATCCTGCCTCATCTACATACATGAATTCATGTGGGGTCTCATTAGCGTCCAACTCCATAGCTCTCTGAAAGAAAAACAAACACAGTTTTTGTAAATTCACTTCATTATACCCTACTGTACTGTAACCTATACAGTATGTATACTTGCAAAGTGTAAAGCTCACATAACTGGACATTGAATATACATCATACCTGGACATACTGTTGCCAGAGTTCCTTGACCTGCTCACCGTTCCTTTCAAAGGGAACAGTTTAGAGTTGCTTCATTCAAACTCTGTGTTTGGACAGAGTCCAAGCAATGGTCGTCAGGCTAATGCTGTCCACATTGTCAAATATTTCATGGTCTTTCACAGTTCTGGTCTGAATTTCACATAGTTTGAAAGCATTATTAGCAATGATCATTCCAACAATGGCAAGTTCTTGATCAATATTGAGTAGCTTTCCCTTCCCCCAGAGGGCGGAAGACGGTGCATCCCATGCAGGGACAAAAATTCAACATATGCACTAGTAGTACTAGGACTGGTGGCCTTACTGTGAGACATAAGAACATAAGAGTTTTACAAAGGAGAGGAGGCCATCAAGCTTGTTTGGAGAGAACTTAACTAATAGCTCAGAGTTGTTAAATTATATTTTGATATTTATATTTAGAGTTGTTGCTAATGAAATTTAGAGTTTTGAAAATGTGATTACAGATTGGACAAATGTATCTTAGCGATTGAAGAAAACTGTAATATAGTTTTGAGAAGATTGGTTTTGTGAGTGTAGCTTGAATTTTAGGGTTTATACTTAGTGTTCTAAGAAAAGGAGAGGAGATCTTAGGAAATTAATCTCTAAAACTAAATGAAACAGTCAAAGTGTTCTTTGAGCAGTGGACTATGCACACACCTTGATTTTGTGATTACATTCCATATTCAGTTTACCGGCTGTAGTATCTTTTTTTAGAAGCAAACCAAATGATTTTAACCACAGATTTTTGATATCCAGTGTAGTATCAGGAGATGTACGCGGGTAGGAACCTTTGTAAAGGGACTGTGCGGGAAGGGGGACGACAAAAGAATAAAGGTACCAGACGTTAACTGGCATGCACTTATGTGGTGGGTCTTTGCTTTAGCCTCCAAACAAAGACATATAAAACATGGTGTCAGAAGTGGTTTAACACTCAAGAGATCGGGGAGCGTCAGGACACAGCAGTGGTCCGGTGAAAATAAATGAATAAATAAATAATATACTGTATATATAATAAAATACTAGTCAGCGAGCCGCCGCCAAGTTCCTCCACCAGAGAAATTCACCTTCACGGCTGATGACTGGACGAGGTGGATACAGCGCTTCGAAAGATTTCGCATCGCGTCCGGCTTGGAAACGCAGGCGGACGAGAACCAAGTAAATGCGCTTATCTACACCATGGGAGAGGAGGCAGAGGATATACTGGTCTCCCTGCGCCTAAGCTCAGTGGAAGCGTGCGAGTATGACACGGTAAGAAGAAAGCTAGACTCCTACTTCGTAGCCCGCAGAAATATTATCTTTGAGAGAGCAAAGTTTAACCAGCGGCAGCAAGAAACGGGTGAATCAGCTGATGGCTTTCATACGGCGTTACAGTGCCTAGCGGAGCACTGCGGATACGGCACGCTGCATGATGAAATGGTGAGGAACAGATTTGTAGTGGGTTTGAGAGACAAATGGTTGTCAGAACAACTACAAATGGACCCTGAACTGACGCTAGACAAAGCAGTTAACAGAGCACGACAGAGCAAGCTAGTAAGGAAGCAACGAGAAATGCTAATGGCTAAATTTAAAATAGACGTGTCTAACACTCAGCTCTGTAATGTGCACGCGCGGTGGCGTGGTGCGGCCCGATCAACGCCGTCCAAGTCACAGCACAGACAGATGGGCAAACCGGTGTCGCAGGGGAGGCAGACACAATGTAATAGATGCGGAGCTGCAAAAGGGCACAGTCTGCAACAATGCCCAGCAAGAGAGGTGATGTGTAATCATTGCCGGAAAAAGGGACATTACGCAAGAATGTGAAGAAGCTAAAAACTGTGTGAAGTGAGTGCCACTGTAGTAAATGAGACCACAGACGATGATATCGCATTCTTAGACTCAATGTCAGCGGGGGCTGATGACTGTCCTTGGATGACAGACATAAAAGTGCACATGTACAGCACAGTGTTCAAGATTGACACCGGTGCAGATGTCACCACAATCCCAGAAACCTTGTATGACAAGGACCAGTTCGGGGGGTTGAAAACGCGAAAAAGGGTTCTGCAGGGACCTGGTGGAACATTTCTGAAGGTAAAAGGCATGTTTTCAGCCACTCTTAGTAAAAACAGTAAAAAGCACCACTGAGGACATTTATGTCGTACAAGGCCTGTGCACACCGCTGCTGGGCGGTCGGGCAGCCATAGCACTGGAGGTGGTTGCCAGAGTGAATTGCCTCACCTTAAACTCCAAAGAGGCTGTAAAACAGCAGTTCCCAAAGCTTTTCAGGGGACTTGGGAAAATGGAGGGGGAATACAACATAGTCCTAAAGCCAGGGGCACAGCCCTTTTCCCTCTGCTACCCAGGGTAGGTGTATTTCCCTACCTCTGCTACCCAGGGTAAAAGAGCTGTATCACATGGAGCAGCAGGGCGTCATCTCCAAAGTAGAGGAACCTACAGAATGGTGCGCCCCAATGGTGGCTGTTCCCAAAGGAACAGGCTCAGGTGGTGTGCGGATATGCACTGACCTCACTGAGCTGAATAAATCAGTGCTTAGGGAAAAACATCCACTTCCCTCAGTCGAACACACTCTTGGACAGTTGGCTGGAGCCAAGGTATTTTCAAAGCTAGACGCAAACTCAGGATTCTGGCAGATTCCGCTGTCAAAGGAGTCTTCTCTTCTGACCACGTTCATAACCCCATTCGGGCGGTACTGCTACAACCGTCTGTGCTTTGGAATCTCATCAGCTCCGGAACATTTCCAGAAACGGATGTCACATATCCTAGAAGGTCTAGAGGGTGTTCTCTGTCAGATGGATGATGTGCTCATCTGGGGAGCTTTACAGAGAGAACATGATGAGAGATTACGGATGGTGCTGCCACGACTGCAGGAGGCAGGAGTTACGCTCAATGACAAATGTGAATTTTCCAAGAACAGGATAAAGTTCCTGGGGCAGATTATTGAGGCATCGGGGGTCCATGCAGACCCTGACAAAGTAAGGGCTGTGAGAGCCATGGAGGAGCCCAAAAATGTCAGCGAGGTGAGACGATTCTTAGGGATGGCAAACCATCTAGGGAAGTTCCTGCCTCACCTGGCTGACAAAACCCGTCCACTCAGAGAATATGAATATGTGGGCCTGGGGGCCACAGCAACAGCGAGCTTTTGATAGCATCAAAGCGGACCTGACAACACCCCCAGGGCTGGCACTATACGACCCCAACGCGGAAACAGCTGTCTCCGCGGATTCATCTTCATACAGTATGGGGGCCGTACTCCTTCA